CAACAGACTAACCTGTGAGACTGGGGGTTTCTCCTAACATTGCAACCCCCACTGATTTTTACAGCCACAGGTTTTGAGGCTTTAGTTCTTTTACGATGGAACCCTGGTTTGCATGCTCCCCAATTATTCCTCCCAGTTTATCCATAAGTGAATATGGGACCACCCGGTCTCACTGGCCGGGTCCACCAGCCACCAGCTTGTCTCGCATCCTCTCTGCCTGCCTGGTGCATGTGTATGCCCTTTTTACCAGTCTGGGTGAATATTTCTTCTTTAACTCCTTGGTTGTCAGACTTCCATGTAGTTCTATTTTCTGGCAGTTTTGGTTGTTTTCTGTTTTTTAATTTGTTGTTGTCCTTCTTTTGGTTGTGTGTGGAAGCAAAGCATATCTACCTATGCCTCCATCTTGGCCGCAAGTCCCCACAAGAGAGATGTTAGTTGGAGCAGACTTTCTTTGCTATGTTGACCAAGGGGTAAAGGGTAGACAGGAAGATGAGAAAGTAATGAAAAAAATCCAGATCAGAAGTCAAGGTGGTTGGAATCTGGGCAGTAGTAGCAGGAAAGGTAGTGATAGCTGGTCAAATTCTCGATACATTTGAAGATTTAGCTATCAGGATTTGATGAGAGACTGAACTGAATACAGCATTTGAGAGAAATGAAGTATCTGGCCTGAGTATCTGAAAAGGTGAAGCTTCACTTTACTGAGATTGGAAAGATTATAGTGGAGCAAAGGGGAACAGGCTAATCCAGGAGGATTATGGATTTGGGTCATAGCTGCTAGACACCCACATGGAGAGTTTGAGTTAGAAGCTCTAGATAAACTTCTGGAGCTCAAGAGAAAAGTCCAGGATGGAGATATAAATAGGGAAATTATCAGCATATAGATGGTATTTAAAGCCATCTGGAGGATGATGTTTGGTGACTCAGCCTTGGGTAATTCTAACATTTAAAGATAGAGAAGATGAGGAAGCACCATTCAGGGAGGAAAACCAAAGGAGAATGGTGATAAGAAGCCAAGTAAAAGAGCCTTTTAAGAAGATGGGAAGGGCCATCTTTGTGAAATGCTAATGGTGAGGTAAGATGTCATCTGGGAATTGTCCATTGTATGTAGCAGTGTGGATGGAGGTCCTTGTTGGTTCTGGCATGTTGTTGAAATAGCAGGTGAAAGCTTCATTGGAGTAGGTGCAACAGCGGATAAAAACAGATATTTTAGAGACAGAATAAACAACTTTCCCAAGAACTTTTGCTTTCAAAAGAAGTATAGAAATTGTATAGTAGCTGAAGGGAAATAAAATTCTCAACATGCTTGAAACTCCTATGTCTGTGAGAATAGTAAGAACTATATGCTGTGGTAACAATTATGTCCATCTTGTTGACTACTTTTTACCAAGTATAATGCTCGACCCAAAGCAGATGCACAATTAAATATTTCTTGAACAAATAAGTATTGTGGTTAAATTTATAACCTAAAGTTTGTAATGGGCTATAACTACTTTCAACAGATGTTAGTTTTTCTTTTAAATTGAACGAGAATATGTATTTTCATACTGGTAAACACAAAGTGATCGCAGGTAATATGATCAGTCCACATCTACTCTCCAACTGACTCAGTTATGCTAAGTAAGCGCCACATCCCACCTTTATTTCAGAAAAAAACATGCAGTATGACAAATTAATTTGCTAAAAATACTCAGTGTAGGTAGCTTTAATTGTCTATAGCAGAGTTTTTCAAACCATGGAGAAAAGAAAGTAAATACATTTTTCTTCAGCAAAGTGCACCTTGATTTAAGTTTGGCGAGCATCGGGAAACCATTAAGTCTTTAAAGAGATGCTGATAGTACCATAGTTGTGTGTGAATGGTTGATTCATTGCTGAGTGATGGCATACATTTATTTGATGCAACACATTTATTTGATGTGGAGATGAGCAGTTGCCGTACAGCAGATCCTAAACTACAGAGCTGAAGTTGTGAAAGATAAGATGAAACATGTAGGTTGCAGAGAGAGGTGCTTAGCTTTCTTTGATGGGTAATTGAGAGTATTTGAAAATTTTGAGCAGAAAAGTGGAAAGGTCTGTTAATTAATACGAAAATTGGTTGCGGAATTGATTGGATGCTGAAGATCCGTGTTTTACAAACATTAATCTGGGAGAGTTTATTGGGTGCTCCTTGAAAAAGTATCCATGGTAAATGAAGGAGGAAATATCGACTTTCCCAGTGTTGGGCGAAACAAACTTAAAATGTCCCTAAATGTAGTCTATGATGTACTTGAATTTCCAAGTCCTGTGGAATACGAAACTCTTTGTTCAAAGGACCCTGTTATTCTTTGGAAGAGTTTGACAGTTTGGAACTGTATTAATGTTGTAATCCAGATGACCTGACCTGGACTTGAGGAGGAGTTATGGGAATGGGAAGGAAGAAAGAGATAATAATAGTCATGCCTTATGGACTAATAAGCAGAGAAATATGTAAAGAAAAAAGTCAAAGGGGAAGCATGTTGGTTCAAGAAGCCAATGAGTTTAACCTTAGCACTTACTTAATGAGCTCCAGGATGCTGGCGGGGGCTGGTGAACAAGTAAAAATTGAGAGGCTTTGACTTGGGAAAAGTATTGAAAATTGGAAAAACTTTCTGAAGCACAGACACTATATAGGATATAGTGCTAGAGAATAATCTTCCAATGATTAGAACGTGAAATGGGGATATGGAAGAAGTAATCCCTACAGATATTTTATAATAAAAGTCAGGATTGAAAAAAAGATTAGTTTTGGAAATAATAATGGAAACAAGTACTTGAAAATAAGTACTTTTTTGTTAGTATGAGAAGCATAATTTTCAGCATTCAGCTCAGATATAAAAAGAAGACTCATGTAAAAAGTGTTTTTCTGCTCAGCATATTAATTCACCATGGCAGGAAAGTGTGATGGCTCTTTCAGAAGTCCTGACATACTCAGGATATTTGGGCGATCAGTGCTTTGTGACAAGCCGGAGACCCTCACCGCTTTAGCTTTGTTGCTACTTCACGATGATCCATTGTGTCCGCATCAGGCTTATAATCCTAGGTTCCCATCTCCTGTCTTTGACATTCTAGAGGTCTGCCTTCTGGGCCTCCTTTTAGGCCTTCTTGTGAACCACCATTCTCAGAGATGTCTTTGTTTCTTAGAACTGTGCTTGTCATTTACAGAACAGCTGAAAGGCTCAAAAGGCATCACCATTGGAAACAAAACCTTTTTTAAAAATCGGCAAACTGAGATTAAGTAAAATACGACACAATATGTCCTTCGTTGTATTAATATTCTTTGTATAATTAGGTCTGCACGCATTTATGTTTATAAGGAAATGCATGTAACAAAACATGTAGATGCATTTTTGAGGTCAGAATATGGAGTTTGGAAGAAAAATATAGAGCAGACGGTAAGCTTGTAGGAAAATTAAGTCAGCCAGCTCTCCCCAGATGGTCACCTTTATACGGTTTTTTGTATCTTGTGAATTAGGCACCTGTATTTTTCTTCGGCTCACTTCCTGCCATGTGAATTCTTGCATTTGACATTTTAGTTGCAAACAAAAGCAATGAATCTTCCTTTTTTTTAACCAGAAAAATCTATGTTTTTACTCTTATTTTTACCTGGAATGCACTAGCACTTATTCATATTTCGAGATTCCTAAAATGCTTATTTGAATTTTACAGTTTACTGGTTATTGTGATGATAAAACAGAAGGATAGTGGTTCAATTTACATAAAGGATTTCTTTTTGCACTTTTCAGGACACTGGCTTGAGTAACTTTTAAGACCCATTAAATTTTAAAATATGTAAATTACACATTTTCTATAACTTATTTTTGAAAGGAGGCTAAGACTTCTGATAAGAATAGTCATGTTGATTTCATATCTACTTCAATTTAAAATGTTCTTTGAAGGTAATTGTCACATGTTAGGTTCATCATCTACGTCCATACATGAGAAGAACAGTGTCTTTAAATAAACAATAGTTTTCAGGTAAACAGTGTGCCTTTTTCTCTGACTGCTTTTGAACTTCTATGGCACTTGAACTGGCACTCTGTTCTTGAAGTGTCAGGAAAAAAAGTAAGGCTACTTCAATCCCTGTTTAATAAATCAGCACAATAATTTCTTTCTTTTGCATTGTTTGTATTCATTAATAAGTGTTGACATTGAGATGCATGTAGAAGAAAAGAGATTCCTAAATGAGACATACTAATTTTTTTTCTTAGCTATTATAGGTGACCTTGATAAATGTAACAGAAAAAATAAATGTGTCTAAAGCATTAATAAAAAGTGATGGAGTACTTTTACCTGAGAAAAGGTGTTCAGTGAATGTGTAATTAAAGATAAGATAAAACTACTCAGTAAGTTATAGCAAGAATGGTTTAGGTTAATACCACTTGAAAAATAATGCCTCCCAAATTAAACTTGTTTATGTGTGGGTAATTTGTCTTGCATTTAAAAATGTGAATTTATACTTAGATTTAAGCATTTGGATCTTCTCATGTTAAAAGATAAACAAAACTAAGCTTATTTTATTTAATCTTCTTTAAAATGGAACAAAACCAAACCATTTACAATAAAATCAAGACCTTGATCAACAAGTCATTTCAAATTTATCACATTTCCCTGTTTACCTGAGTCAATTAGATCCCAATGACTCATGAACTAGAAAAAGTACGAGTATAATTTTAAGGACGTGTAGTGGTCTGTAGGATTAAATATTTTTTATCTGACAAAATATAAAATTATATTTAAGTCTAATATGAAGTTATAGTATCTTTTACCCAAATAAATGTCTCATTTGTGAGTTTTAAAATTAACTCCTTGTGCTTCGAGTCTACAAGCCGAGCTCCAAACTTCATCTCCTAGAACTTAAAAAAAAATACATTATAAAGTATTTCTGATACATTTTTATGTATGGAGATTGAATTGTGATTTTAAACTTAGTGAAAGTCTTTTGAGCAGTGTACATTGAATAGCATTGAGCCAGCCAATGCTACTGCAAAATATTTTCTTCACAAATTTGCATGTCATCCTTGTACAAGGGCCATGCTAATTTTCTATGAATTGTTCTAGTTTTAATATATGTGCTACCAAAGCAAGCACAGAATATTTTCTCTATCTTCTGGACAGGTATTTTGTTTCGGCTCATTATTTATTCAGTGCTTAATGAGGACATGCCCATGTTAGGGCCTTCATGGGCATGGACATCAGAGGAGAACAGAAAGTAATCATGACTCTGTTCTCAAGAAACTTACAATCTACAGGAGAGAGACAATAGTCAAAAAATCATGGAGATAAGTGTATAATTACAATAGTAGTAAGTACTAGGACGCACAGATAGATTGTGGTAAGAAAGAACCATGGCACATAGTAGACATTCAGTCGTAGGCAGTAGGCATTTGTTGGCTGGATTAATGAAAAATGGTAGTAAAAAGTAGAACGTGAAGAATTGTTCTAGCAAAAGCTTCCCTGAGGAAGTGATGTTTGACCTGAGATCTGAAGCATAAATAAACAATTAGTTGGTAAAAAGTGTTGGGAATAGGTCTCAAACAAAAAGAAAAACAAGGCTTTATGTCAAGGTAGAACATGAAAAAAAAGTGAGCCTGTATTAAGAGTTCGATATACAACCAGTTGCCAGAGGAAGCTGGAGTGGTTGATCTTTCTTAATGAAATGATTTCCTATGTAGAATATTCTACAAAACATACCAAAAAAGCTACTAAAACTAATAAGTGACTTTGGTAAGGTGAGAAAATATAAGGTTAACATAAAAATATCAATTATATTTCTATAAAATAGCAACGAACAATTGGAAACTAAAATAAAAAGACAGTAATATTTGCAATAGCATCAAAATCATGAAATATTTAGAGTCACATTTTGCAAAAACAATGCACAAAAATCATATACCAAAAAGTAGAAAACATTGCAGAGAGAAATTACAGATTTAAATAAATGGAATGGTATATACTATGTTCATGGGATTGGAAAAGTCAATATTGTAAAGGTGTCAATTTTTTCCAAATTATGACATAGTTCAACACAATCCCAGTTAAAAAAAGTAAGCAGTCTTTTTTTTTTTGGTAAAAATTGGCAAGCAAATGAATGCAAAGGATGTAGAATAGCAAAATTGAAAAACAAGAACAAATTTGGAGGATTTACAGTACTATATTTCAAAATGTACTTACTATAAAGATAGCAATCAAGAAAGTGTGATATTAGGAACAGTATGGGCATACAGAGCAAAGAAGCTGAACAGAGTTCAGAAATAGGTTCACAAGTATGTAGTCAATGGATGGGCAACAGCTGTGCTGGGAAACAGTAAATAGTGCTGTAAAAATGGGATGTTCATATGCACAAACACTGAACCTCAAGCATTCACACATACTCAAAAATCAACTCAAAATGGGTGATTAATCTAAATCTAAAAGACTTAAAAGTATATTCTTTTAAAAGAAAGTGCCTATATAGTAGAAAATCTCTGATGCCTTGGATTAATCCAAGATTTCTTAGACTGAATATGAAAAGCATGAACCATAATAAAAAATGATCATAAATTTAAAATTATTGGTCTTTGAAAGGTATTGTTAATAAAATTAGAAGACAAGGACAAAGAGAAAGTATTTGTGAAACATAACTGATAAAGGATTTGTATCTGGGATATTTGAAGAACTTATTAAAACAACAATTAAACAAAATAAATGACCCAATTAAAAAATAAATATTTGAATAGATACTCCACCAAAGAAATGTACAGAAGGTAAGTAAACATATGAAGAGATATTCATACCATTAGCATTTATGGAAAAGCAAATCAAAAATGCATAGAAAATGGTTTTAAAGCCCTTATTTCTGCATACGATTTTTTAAAAAGCAAACTTCATTCTACATCACTACTGTGTCAAGTACAGAACAGTGTAGAATGGCTTCTTTCTCATACAGGATCTCCTGCCTCGTGTCAGTGCTTCAGTCTTCTCTCTCCAGGGATTACTTTGAGAATAAACGTTCATCCTCCCCAAGTTGTCTCTGGTGATCAAAATCTCAGGAGAATCATTTGATGTCCTTTGTGCTCAGTTTCCTTACTTAAAAAGTAGAGGCTGGAACGAAAGTCCCTTCCTACTTTTCATGCCAGGCACTCTGCTACATTTGACAGCTTTTTAATAAAAATCAGCATCTTTCTCTTACGTTTGACTCCTCTGTGCCTCCCCTAGATGCATACACGTGTCTGTCCTGATGAGACATACTGCCCTTACAATGGTGCATATGAAAACTATAGCATTTATGGTGATAATTTCCATTACACTTTCTCCTGAGTCAAAATTGTATTGTAACTTATTATATACTAGCATAATTGAATTTCATAAAAAATCAGCATTGACATAGTCGATCTGTGAACGTTGATTTTTAATATGTTGGAACCATAATGATACACATTTGTGTATACAGCAAGCTATTTTTAATTAGGACCAGAGGACAAAAGCAAGTGTGAACAATTTCAAGTAAGCATGGAGTAGTGTGGTGGAAAATGACCTGGTCTGGGATTTACGGTATCATACTCCCAGTTCTGGCTGCATTAGTGCCATCCCAGACTACTGAGAAATGCTCAAGACCAGGAGGGACTGAACCATCACAGCCAGTGACAAAGCACCTCCTTACTCCTCTGTGCTGAAGCGGCTGTGCCTCTGCCACTTGCCCACCTCCTTGTCTTGGAAGTAGGCTCTTAGGGTTAGAAACTGTTACTGACCGCTGGACGGGAATTCCTATTAGGTTATGGAAGCATACATCTAGTCTAAATCCTTAAGTAGAAATATTAAATTAAAAACAAAAAACCTAACATTTTTTTAGAATGAGCATATTTATAAAGGTACCTACCTCAAAAAGTTCTCTCAGAGCAAAGAGAATTAGTAGAGCAGAGTACATGCTTTGAAAAACATATCAAAGAAAATAATAAGGTGTTATGAAAAAGAGACAGTCATGAAGATCAAGTTTGAAAATAAAGAGATGAAATGCCAGGGAAAAGTTAGCACAAAAGTAGAATAGTATTAAAACATCAATAAAAAATAGAACTGAAGCCAAAATTAAAGGTGACAAAGAGTGATTTTTTTAATTGAAATTATTAGAATGACATTGGTTCGCAAAGCCATGCAGGTTTCAAGTGTACAACTCAGCAGCAGAGGAAAGGGAACCTTCACACACTGTTGGTGGGAATGCAGACTGGTACAGACACTGTGGAAAACAGTATGGAGTTTCTTCAGAAAATCAAAAATGGATCTGCCTTTAACCCAGTGATCCCACTTCTGAGAATATATCCTAAGAAACCCAAGCATTAATTCAAAAGGATATTTGCACCCCTATGTTCATTGCAGTGTTATTTATAATAGCCAAGATTTGGAAACAAAGGGTGCCATTTAATATAGAGAAAAACCATCAAGAATCTATTAGGATCCCAAACCTTTATGTACCTAGCACGGTAGTTAGAAATATATGTGCATGAGGGAAAACCTTTTAGTGGTGAATCTTAGTAATTCACACGATTTCTCAGAGCGACAGCTCAAATAGATGATAAAAAATAACACTAGGATTTTAATAAATCACTTAACAAGCTTGAACACTCATATATGTTTGTATCTATTTCCTATTATTTTCAAACATCTGTGGAATGTTTACCATATATGAGTTAAAAAATGTAAAAGTCCAAAATGAGAAATCACACAGTAATTTTTCTAGTCAAATATATTATAAAGTACAATCCTCTTAAAACCATTCCCTTGGAATCTTTTTTTGCTCTAAATAACATTTGCTTTAAGAAATAAAAAATTAAATGGTAGAGTAGAAAGAAATGACCCATTAGATGTATCTACAGTGGGATTCTGAGGAAATTGTAGGGTCATTTATACACACACGTAAAACCTAAGCAAACTACAAAGAAGAAAGCAATAAGGATAAAAGCAGATACTAGCAAATAAACTGATATAAACTACCATGAAATTTGTTTCATGGTAATGAAACAAAATATATATCGTAAAACTTAAAGTTGGGTTTTTGAAAAGACCAATAAAAGGAATAAATATTTCTCATGTCTAACCAAGAAAATGAGCACTGGTTAAAATAAACAACTTTGAAATGAGAAATAGAACACAGCTGTAGATATAGAAGAGGTTTTTTAAAAGTATAAATCCCTGTATACTACTTTAGAGCAAAAAAATGAAAGTTGAGATGAAATGGACATTCCAACACTGAAGAAATTGACTGGGAAGTGGTGAATGGGGCAAGCCCAGTAACAAAAACAGTAGAGAAAAGCTGAACTTATCCCTAACAAAGGCCCCAGGTCCAGGTGAATTTACACGAATCTGTTCTTAAAAGAGCAGATACTTCTAAAATATTTCAATTGTTCCACAGTATTTGTTAAAATGAATAGAAAAATATATGGTAACAGTAAATAAGTCAGAATTCTATTAATTCTAATATAAAGAATAATGTGATAACAAAGAACATGTTTATCATAAAGTGAAAATTTCAGAGAAATGGAATCACCATATATGCATGATTATGATTCTTAGTAAAATAATGAATTTTGAGACTTAGAGAAAATAAAATAGCTACTTTAATTTTAAGCTAAAGTAACTCACTTCATTAAATTATTTTGAATCATCTTTGAAATTTTTTTTTAATTTAGAAAAATGATTAGTAAAGTTATGATGAAATGTTTAAGATTTTTCTTTTCTTTATTTTCTGGTAAAAGTTTTTTTAAGCAAAAGAAAATTATCTAAAGCATATGATTGGGATTCATACTTACCCTATAAACTTGCCAAGCTGCAATTTTTCTTTATGATTAAAAAAAAAGTACTCAAGTTTGTTTTCAGTGATCTTTAAATTTATTCAATCTGCTATATAACTATACTTATGACCAAATAACACTTCATTAGTTACTAATAGTTTGCTATGCAGATGCAGTAAGTTACTAAACAATTATTTTTCCTCTTTTTCTATTCCCAACATTCAGTTTATAAAAGAAACATCAATAGAACGTCTGAGAAAGCAGCCCTGAGGAATCTAACATAACGAGGAGAAACTCATTTCATGATTTGTACTTGGAATTTCAAAT